GTCTAAAGTTGATTAACGAGTTTTTTTTGCCTACGAATTTCACTAATTAGCACGAATTAATTTGTGCAAATAGGAGCGTGTTTTAAATTAGTGTCAATTCGTGTAATTCGTGGACGAAAAAAAAACATTAAAAAAAAGGCTTACGAACATATTCGAAGCCTTTTTGGTAAAATGATGCTGCAATTATTTTTTAGAGCAACATTTTTTGTCTTTTGCGTCACCTGATTTTTTAGAACAGGATTCTTTTTTCGCTTTTTCTTTTTTAGGAGCTGGTTTTGCGTCTTGCGCTTGTAATCCAATTGTAAATAAAGCGATGGCTAAAACGGTAAATAATTTTTTCATTTTTAATATAATTTAGTTGTTAGATATTATTCTTTTTTTGATAAACGATTGTTTTTCAAATATAATACGATTTGGTTTTCGAAATTGTCAACGATAAGTTAATGGAGGTCAATGCAATATTAAAATTATTGTTAATAATTCAGATTCACTCCAAAACCAATTCCCATATCGCTGTCGTAGTGTGTCGTGATCCCAAAGTTTCTTCCGGCAATATATTTTAAACCCGCCATGTATTCTTTATCCGTATTCCACATCAAATTCATTCGCAAACGTCTCGAAATCGGAATGTCTTTTCGTTCAAATTGAATCCTCACATTTCCATCGGTATACATTTCAACCTGAGCTTTTACGAGCATGGGCAGAGTGTATTCAGCTCCAATACTGAAAACCGAACGATTGTCTTTTGTATTCTTTTGTCCGAACATATTTTGTTCCTGTTCGTCCATTCCCATTTTTCTATAACGCCAGTCAAAACCTATAAAAGGCATAAACCATTGCATTTTACCAATATATCTACCAATATGAGTTTCGGTTTCACAACCGTGTTCATTGTTATAACCCAATCTCCATTCGGTTCCAATGCTCCAACGGGTGTTGCTGTACATCGCTTCACCATCATTTCCGTTTGATGCAAAATCATTTTCTGCCATAAAATGAAACATACGATCGTCCATTTTTAGCATTTTGTACGCCATTTTCGGATCATGAATCAACGGATTCGGAGCTGAATTTTCATAACTAAAAATACGTCCCATTCCCGCCATCATATGATATAAGATATGACAGTGGAAAAACCAATCGCCATCGGCATTTGCCTGGAATTCGATGATATCGGTTTCCATTGGCATAATATCAATTACATTTTTTAGCGGAGAATAATCGCCATGCTCGTTTATAATCCTGAAATCATGTCCGTGTAAATGCATTGGGTGGCGCATCATCGATCCGTTGTACAAAACAATACGAACGTTTTCTCCTTTTTTAATTAAGATTTTATCCGTTTCAGAAATCACTTTATTGTCTAAACTCCAGACATAACGGTTCATATTTCCGGACAATTCAAAACGTAATTCTTTTACCGGAGCATCTTTTGGCAATGTTGTTTTGGTTGGAGATTTTAGCATTCCATAATTCAAAGTCGTAATCTCGGCAACTTCTGTAGTATCGCTCGAGATTTTCATGTCATCTATTTTCATACCTTCCATATTATGCATCGAATGATCTTCAGGTTTTACAGATGCATCTTCACCAGAAATTTCAGGATACATTACGGCATTCATATCCATTTTATTGAGAGACATTTTCATCCCCATATCATTCATTTCTCCGTTCATCTTCATCATGTCGTTCATCATTTTCATCCCTTCAAAATATTTTAATTTAGGAAGATGAGAAACAGACTGTTTGGTTCCTTCACCTAAAAACAAAGAAGCAGATCCGGTTCTGTCTTCGGCTGTAGCCAAAAAAGCAAAAGATTTTTTATCTTCAGGAATCGTAACCACCACATCATAAGTTTCAGAAACGGCAATAATCAAACGGTCGACTTCTACAGGTTCAACGTCGTTTCCATCGCTGGCCACAACCGTTATTTTTCCGCCGCCATACGTCAGCCAGAAATAACTCGAAGCGCCTCCGTTGGCAATTCGCAATCTAACTTTATCACCTGCTTTAAACTGCGAAAGCTGATCTTCATTTTTTCCGTTAATCAGGAACTTTTCGTAATAAACATCACTCACGTCCATGGCATTCATACGTTTCCATTCGTTGGTGACTTTGGTCGAAAACTGACCTTTTTTAATTGCCTCGGCATAACTTTGAGTTGTGCCTTTTTTTATGGCAAACCAATCATTCGCATTATGAAGCATTCGCTGCACGTTCTCTGGTTTTAGATCGGTCCATTCGCTTAAAATAACGGGAACGGTTGGTAAATCGTCGATTCCTTTTCTAAAAGTCGAATCGTCTTTCTTTTTATTAATGATGAAAAGTCCGTATAAACCAATTTGTTCCTGTAATCCCGAATGGCTATGATACCAATAGGTTCCGTTTTGGATAATTGGGAAAGTATATTTGTGCGTTGTTCCCGGTTTAATGGGCATTTGCGTTAAATACGGAACACCATCTTCTTTATTTGGCAGAAATAGACCGTGCCAATGCAGTGCAGTATTTTCTTTTTTTAAATCGTTATGTACATAAATTTCGGCAATATCACCTTCGGTAAAAGTTAATGTTGGCATCGGAATTTGTCCGTTAACCGCAATAGCGCGTTTTTCTTTTTCGGAAAAATTGACAATTGTGTCCCGAACGTGTAAATCATAGCGAACTACTTTTTGGGCTTTTGCGCTAAAGGCAATCAAAAAAACAATTAAAATAGTATGTAGTTTCATGTTGGTTTTTTAAAGGTTGAGGTTTCGCAATCGCAAAGCATTTACAATTACCGAAACCGAACTTAAGCTCATAGCCAGCGCGGCTAACATTGGCGAAAGCAGAATCCCGAAGACAGGATATAAAATTCCCGCCGCAATTGGTATGCCCAAAACATTGTATATAAAGGCGAAGAATAAATTCTGTTTGATGTTTTTCATCACCGAATAACTTAGTTTTTTAGCCTTTACAATTCCGTTTAAATCTCCTTTTACAAGCGTTATTTTAGCACTTTCGATGGCAACATCTGTTCCGGTTCCCATTGCGATTCCAATATCTGCTTTGGCCAAAGCCGGAGCATCGTTGATTCCGTCGCCGGCCATCGCCACCACTTTTCCTTCGGCTTGCAAACGTTCAATTTCTCTCAGTTTATCTTCTGGAAGACAATCGGCTTTAAAAGAACTTAAATGAAGCTGATCTGCCACCGCTTTGGCTGTATTTTTATTATCTCCGGTAAGCATAATAACTTCAACACCCTGATCGATCAAATCTTTGATCGCTTTGGCACTGTTTACTTTTATGGCATCTGTAATGGTTACGTAACCAGCAATAATATTGTTTACCGCGATGTATGAAACCGTTTTTCCCAGATTTTGTTCGGCTGTAATTTTGCTTTCAAAATCATCAGAAACAGAAGCGTTTATCTGTTCCATTAGTTTTTTGTTTCCTAATGCAATTTTTGAGTTATTAACGGTTCCTAATACCCCTTTTCCGGCAACGGCTTCAAAATCCGGAACTTCCAATAATTGCTGATTTTTGGCTTTTGCAAATTTAACAACGGCTTGCGCCAAAGGATGTTCGCTGTGCTGATTTAGTGAAGCAATGTTTTGCAAAAGAATGTCTTTGTTATTATCGATCGCATAAATTTTCTCTACTGTTGGTTTTCCTTCTGTAATCGTTCCGGTTTTATCTGTAATCAGAACATCAATTTTATTCATGTTTTCGAGCGCTTCGGCATTTTTGATTAAAATTCCGTGTTGAGCACCTTTTCCAACGCCCACCATAACCGACATTGGAGTCGCCAATCCTAAAGCACAAGGACAGGCAATAATTAAAACGGCAATCGCATTAATTAATCCGTAGATATAAGAAGGTTCCGGACCAAATTTTGCCCAGAGAATAAAGGTCAATATAGAAATGGCAACAACGGTTGGAACAAAATATTTCGCAACGCGGTCTGCCAGTTTTTGAATTGGCGCTCTCGAACGACTTGCATCGTTTACCATTTGAATAATCTGAGAAAGCAAAGTTTCTGAACCTACTTTTTCGGCTATCATCACAAATGATTTGTTTCCGTTTATAGTTCCTGAAATTACAGTATCTCCCGTTTTTTTATCAACAGGAATAGGTTCTCCGGTAATCATCGCTTCGTCGATACTGCTTTCCCCGGAAGTTATTTTTCCGTCAACCGGAATTTTCTCTCCCGGTTTTACACGAAGTAAATCTCCTTTTTTAATATCGTGAATAGAGATGGTTCTATCCGTTCGGTTTTCTACTAAAGTAGCTTCGGTGGGCGCTAATTTTAGTAATGCTTTAATCGCGCCGTTGGTTTGTCCGTGCGCTTTGGCTTCTAATAGTTGTCCTAATAAAACCAAAGTTATAATAACGCTTGCGGCTTCAAAATAAAGATGAATGGTTCCGTGATGTGATTTGAATTCGGATGGAAAAAGATCCGGAAAAAACATTCCCGCAACGCTAAATAGAAACGCAACGCTCGTTCCAATTCCAATTAAGGTAAACATATTTAAATTCCAGGTAATAATTGATTTATAGGCACGAACAAAAAACATCCATCCCGCATAAAACAAAACCGGAACTGAAAATAAAAACTGAACCCAGTTCCATTTTTCAATCGACATAATTTTAAAAAGTGGATTATTCGGAATCATTTCTGACATTGAAATAATAAAGATTGGAAGCGTAAACAATGTCGCAATCTTCATTTTCCTTAATAAGTCAGTATACGTTTTGTTTTCTTCAGATTCAGATGCCTGCATGGCCACTAAATCCATCCCGCAGATTGGGCAGTCGCCCGGCTCATTCGAAATAACTTCCGGATGCATTGGGCAGGTAAATTGTGTACCAATGGCAATTTGAGCAACCAAATCCATGCCACAAACCGGACAGTCTCCGGGTTTATTATAGGTTTTATCGCCTTCGCAATGCATAGGGCAGTAAAAAACTCCGGTTGCATTAGGAGGAATTGCAGTTTTTTCTTTTTTATGGGAATCTGAAGAGTGATCTTCTTTTTTATGAACTGAACAACATGATTTTACAGCGGGTTCTGTACCATGAGTTGGAGACTTCATTTCAATAGTATACTTTCCCGCAGCTGATAAAACTTCCTGAAATTTTTCAGTTACAATATGTTTTTCCATTGTTATGGTGGCTACTGGCGGATCTAATGTTACTTCGGCCTGAATTCCTTCAACTTCATTTAGCGTTTTCTCGACTTTAGTACGGCATCCATTGCATGACATTCCTGAAATTATATATTGATGAGTCATTGTTCTTTTTGTTTTTAAGGTATTACAATGCAAATTTCCGAAGTAAGTTTTACAACGGTTTGTATAATTTTGAGAATGATTTGTAATATTATTTAACCGCAAAAAGCGCTAAGAATTTTGGCTCTTCTGGGTTTTGTAATAATCTCGCAAAGTCGCAGATTCGCGAAGTTTTATGTTTATTAAGATAATAAAAATAATCTCTCGCAGATTCTGCGAGAGATTAAAAACTTAGCGCTTTTGTGACTTTGCGAGAAATTGACCTTTTACAAATTCTCTATTTGAATGCGTTTTTTATCCTTCAGCTGTTTAAAATAAGTAGGCGTGAAACCCGTAATCTTCTTAAACTGATTGCTTAAATGAGCGACATTGCTATAGTTTAGTATGTCAGCAATTTCGCTTAACGAAAGTTCATTATAAATCAGTAGTTCTTTTACCTTTTCTATTTTTTGGCTGATAAAGTATTTTTCAATGGTAGTATTTTCAATTTCCGAGAACAGATTACTCAGCATGCTGTAATCCTGATTGAGGTTTTCGACCAAATAATCAGACAAATTAACTTTGAGTTCGTTATTTTTATGATGAACCAAATCGACGATTAGATTTTTAATTTTCTCAATGGTTTTACTTTTTTTATCGTCAATAAAATCGAAACCCAAAGCCTGAAGGTTTTTTAGTAAAATCTCTTTTTGAGAATCGGTAATATCATCTTGCAGTTCGGCTTCGCCTAATTCAACAGAAATAGTATGAAGTCCGAGTTTGTCCAACTCAGACTTCACAACCATTTTACAGCGACCACACACCATGTTTTTGATGTAGAGTGTCATATTTATTTGATGGTTTCTACCACGTTTCCGCAAGTCAGCATCGAAGAACCGTAATATGGATTCTTAACTGCTTTTTCTTTGCTTAACCAATCAGCATCTGCCATTGGGCAATATTGTTTGTAAACCGCTACATCAGATTTAGAAACTTTAATTAAATCATAGGTGTTTTTTGAAAGTGATTTAAAAGTCTCACGTTGTTTTTTAAGATCAGAAGTACCTGAAATATTTTTGGCATCGGCGGTTAATTTTTTTACCACTTTCATCCAAACAGTATGTTCGTTACTTTTTAGCTTATCCATTTTTACGGCAGTAATTGCAGCTAGTAAATCATTAGCTTTCGCCGAAGTTAATTTGGCATCGCTTTTTATTAAAGCATCTTTTACCGTAAAATAAGCATCATAAACAGCTTGTAAATGACTAGAATCAACATCTTCATTTGTAGTTATTACTATTTTTATTGTAGTTGCCTGAATAGTATTTGTAGAAAATAATAATGTGATTACTACTGCTATAGTTAAAATTGTCTTTTTCATTTTATGTGATTTTTGATAGAGAATATGAATTTATCCTCTAAGTTAAATAAATTTATTTTTTAATTCAATATTTAATCTCGCAAAGTCCCAGTGACGCAAAGTTTGATTTTTCTCTCAGAACCTTAGAGTTTTAGAGCCTTAGCGGCTAAACATAATTATGGCTGTCAGAAATCCAATTATTTTATTTTTGGAGGTAACCAGATAGAAGTAAAACCATCAGAAATACTAGCATTATTGTAGTATGAGATTGGCTTTTTTAGTAGAAAAATTAAAAAGATTATTGCTTAAATCAATTTCGTTTGTGACTAAGCTCAATTGAAGAGATGAAGTTGTACAACCCGAATGGTCGCATTTTCCGTTGCAGCCGTGTTGGCCTTTTTTATCTTTTTTATTTTCTTTACAACAATTCTTTTTGCAGGAATTTGAAGTTTCTTTTTTAGAAGTTTCCTTCTTTTCACAATCCATTTTCTCTTGGGCTCTTCCACAAGCATAACCCGAACTGGACATCAAAAAGAAGCCAAGAGTTAAAAAGAGAAATAATATGTGGAATTTTTTAGTCAATGAAATTGTTTTTTGAAAGTACAAATTTAGATATTTTTTTTAAGAGCAACTATATATTTAAGATTTCCAATTTTAAGTTTTTTTGAAATCTGTAGGTTTCATGTTTTTTCTCTTTTTAAAATAGTTCGAAAGATGACTTTCATCTGTAAAACCAAACTCATACGCAATTTGTTTAATAGGAAGCTGATTGTTGTGAATTCGTTTTTCGATTAATGTAGTTCTCAAATTATGAATATATTCACGATAACTAATAGCGAATGTTCTTTTGAAATAAGCACTAAAATAGGTTTCTGCGATATTAAAATGATTCGCAATCACTTTTATCTGAACCAATTTTGGCTGGTAGATATTCTGATGAATATAAGAAGTGATTTGTTCATTATCAATCGAATTTCCTTTCACGACAAGATTCTGCCCGCGCATGGTTTCTTTAATTAACCCGAAAATCGAAAGAATCTGATAGAATACAATAGGCGAGGTAGAAACGTCGGTTTTGCAATTGTAAGCTGCAATGTTTTCGATTGTGTTTTTTAATATTGTTTTGCAGGGATCATCTAGTTTAAGAACGGTTTCTTTTAATGTTTTATCACGCATGAAACTTTCCGGAGTGTGAATTAAAAATTCATCGCAAGTAAGGTTTTGTTTCGAGTTGAAATAATTATCGGTAAACTTAATATAGAAAAAACGGGTCGATTTTTTAATATCGAAATAATGCTCGTCTTCCGGCGAAATCACAAAAAGATCACCTGTTTTATAAGGTAATAAGTTGTTGTTCAGATGGTGAACGCCGTTTCCTTTTTTGATATAAATAATTTCATAATAAGTATGGGTGTGCGGCGGAAGGTGAAATTTCTCGTCTTCAAATTCATCAATGACCAGAGTTTTGAATTGATTTAATATTGGCATATCTTAAATTTACAAGTTTATATCACAAATGTACAACTAATTTTCTGTTTAACAGCGTTAACTTTGCACCATAGAAAATCTATTCCTTTCTTGTAAAAACAAATGAAAAAAAGTCTTATCGCACTCTCATTAGGAGGATTAACTATCGGTATTACCGAGTTTGTTATGATGGGTTTGTTGCCAGATATTGCCTCAGATATGAAAGTTTCGATTCCGGTCGCAGGATATTTAATTTCTGCATATGCGCTGGGAGTTGTTATTGGAGCTCCTTTATTAGTCATCCTGGGAAGAAACTTTCCGCCCAAAAAAATGCTTTTAATTTTAGCATTGATGTTAACTGTATTTAATGCGCTTTCGATCATCGCGCCTACCTATAATTTTTTATTCGCCTCCAGATTTCTTTCGGGATTACCACACGGAGCCTTTTTTGGGGTTGGAGCAGTTGTAGCGAGCCGCCTGGCTGATAAAGGCAAAGAAGCGCAGGCTATTGCAATTATGTTCTCGGGTCTAACATTGGCCAATTTAATAGGGGTGCCTATTGGTACTTATATAGGACATCATTTTATATGGCGTTATACTTTTATATTAATTGCTGCTGTTGGCTTGCTTACCTTTTTATTTATTTCTTTATGGATGCCAAATCTGGAGAAAAGCGGAAATGTAAATATGAAAACCCAATTGCAATTTTTCAAGAAAACCGAAGCCTGGCTAATTATCGGAATTACTGCAGTGGGGTTTGGAGGATTGTTTGCCTGGATTAGTTATATCGCGCCTTTATTAATTAATGTATCCAAATTTTCGGCCGAAGACGTTTCGTATATTTTGATTTTAGCAGGTTTGGGTATGGTAGTTGGTAACTTTTTGGGAGGTAAACTGGCTGATAAATATTCGCCGGCACCAACTGTATTAGCTTTGTTATTTGTAATGTCAATCGATTTGATTCTGGTTTATTTATTCTCTTCAAATCAATACATTTCTTTATTCCTGACTTTCTTAACAGGTGCTATTTCTTTTTCTGTTATTGCACCCATCCAAATGTTAATGATTAAAACGGCCAAAGATGCTGAGATGATTGCCTCGGCAGCACTTCAGGGAAGTTTTAATATCGGGAATGCTTTGGGAGCCTTTTTAGGAGGATTACCGTTAGCTGCCGGATACAGTTATGCCTCGCCAAACCTTATTGGTGTTGTAATGGCAATTATTGGAATGGTTATCACTTTTGTTCTAATGCAAAAACATAAAAGCAATTTGCAATTGCAGCGTGCTTAAGAAGATGT